TAATGATTGAATTCATTCCTAGAGAAGAAAATCAACATGCAGATGAGTTAGCTCAAAAAGCATGTAAAAGAATTCCACAGTTAGTTTTGGAGAGGTCGGATCAGGAGGAGAGGATGTGACCGGTTGGAGGACTGAAATTATTATCTGCAGATCCAGGCGCGAATGTTCCGGTAGGGATTCGATTGAAGGCTTTACGGTTCCAATTGATCGAAGGAATTTTGTATAGAAGTACGTTTGAAGGTTTACTCTTAAAGTGTCTAGGATCTGAGCAAGCTTTGGAAGTTATGACAGAAGTTCATAGTGGGGTTTGTGGGGTCTATCGAGCAGGTTTGAATATGAGATGGGCTATCGATCGATTGGGATTCTTTTGGCCAAAGATTTTCGAAGATTGTACCCAGTTTGCAAAAGGATGCCAGGAATGTCAAAGGTACGGGCAGTTGAGTCATCTACCAGTTATTGAATTCCAGGCTATGGTAAAACCGTGGCCTTTTTAAGTCTTGGGTGATGGATATCATCGGTAAGATACACCCTCCTTCATCCAAACATCATTTTTTCATTTTGGTTGCTACAGCTATTTCACCAAATGGGTTGAGGCAACTGCATTAAAAAATGTGGATAAAAAAAAAAGTAATCGACTTTGTATTAAATTAGATTATCTATAGATATGGTATCCTTCACTTTTTGACTACCGATCAGGGATTGGCTTTCACCGGAGAAAAAATTGTGAAACTCTTGGCAGAATATAGTATTCAGTTAAATCATTCTTCGCCCATATTATCCTCAGGCCAATGGGTAGGCAGAAGCAGCTAATAAGATTATTATCGGAATTATAAGGAAAATGGTTGAAGGAAATCCGAGAAAATGGTATTTGTTACTACCTCAAGCTTTATGGGCACATAGAAATAGCAGAAGCACGACAACTGGATTTTCGCCTTACCAGCTTACTTTCGGACAAAATGCCGTTTTTCCGGCCGAAATCCAAGTATCATTAGGTCGTACATATTTTATCACTGGAGAATTCACTGAGGAATATCACCAGGTCATGTTGCAACAGTTGGAAGATTTGGATGTCAGTCGACTCCGTGCAGTTGACCAGATGGTAAAGCAGAGTGAGATCAGAGGTAAACATTACGGAAAAAAGGTCTCTTACAGGACTTTCAAAGATGGAGATTTGGTTTGGAAAACCATTTTACTTACGTACAAGAAGGTTGATCAATTGGGAAAGTTGTCTCCAAATTGGGAGGGACCATTTATTAATCATTAGGAAATTGGAAATGGTGCTTTCATTATAATAAATCAAGAAGGGAAAAGAGTACATAATTGTATTAATGTCATATATCTGAAAAGGTATTTTTCTTCCTTTTTAGGTAAAAAGAATTCATAAATTATTATTAATTTATTTAGAACCTAAATAAAAGGGTTCGAACCCGAGAGAAGGTTCATTCGTTGTCAGAGAGGTGAATGCATGTGGGTCTCTCTTCTTCCGAGTTAGAGTCTTCATCCCAATTATTGGAGATTAATTACAGTTCTTCATCAAGCAGATCTTCGAGATCATGTCGGTATCGCTCCCATTGATTTTGCATTTCTTCCAGATCGTGATTAGTATGAGCTTTCATGTCTGTTATTGCTTGGCGTTCGCAGTGAACCAGAACACGTAGTCTGGAAAAGACTGCTCGTTGGTTGGAAAATACATGGTCCCAGCCAAGATTTGGAAGTATGGCTATTACATGGTGTTCAATCAGGTCCATATGATGGTCAATATCAGGAAGGCGGCTAAGGATGTCATGAAGAGTCTCACATCCGTCAAGGACGTGTTCCATTAGACGAATTACGCAGTGAATGGTTCTTCTCCCTCGTTGAGAGAACCCGAATTTAAAATCCAGTTGTTTAAGTACATGCACTAAGTCTTCTGCATGACCACCGGCAGGATGATTACCTACAAGGAAGGGTTGCATGGCAGTTTCCCAGTTGTTAGAAAGAACATGGGGTCGATGTTGTGACATTTTATTAATACCTCAGGTATGTTCTAGTTTTAGGTTTGAATTGTTTATTTATCATGAGAGGGTTGTATTATTTATCAAGGGGAATGAGTTAATATAGTTACTTGAGATTCGGAATTCATAGAGTGATCTTTATTGATAGAAGAGGAAATTTTACTAAGTCAAAAAGAATTACATGGGTCAGTTTAGTAAGAGGCCCCCAGGGAAATTTTAATTTGGGACCACTTCTCTTCGGCCCTGGTTACTCGATGATTCCTGATGGCGGTTTGATATCTTCTAATAAACTGAGACCGGGCTTGAATCTTCAGTTCTCGATCCAAGCTGGCCTCATCACGTTGGCACCCCTCGATCAGCCGCCGTTCTTCAGATATATGGCCAGTCAGAACGGTCTTTTCCTGCCGAAGTGCCTCCAATTCTTTTTTCTTCTGTTGAATGATTTCATCAATTTGAGTTTCAGTCTGAAGAAGGCCGTTCAGCCGCTCAGTAGCTTGTTGGAGGGATTTTCTAGTTTTGACCTGAGAAGCCTCCAGATCGGTCGGTTCGGAGCTTGGCTGGGACGGCTCGGCCGATGGGTGTCGGATGGATGGAAGATCATTTTGAAGTTCCGTTAACCTTTCCATCAGCCGATGAAGAATTGGAGCAGCCGCCGAATCTGACGAAGTCTGGAATAGTAGGTCGCCAACCGTCTAAGTAAGGCCTTCAAGGGATTCCGGCCCTACGTCCGCAAAACGACGGTTGACTGCTTGAGCAATGACGACCTGAACTTCATCAAAAATTGAGACAACTGATAGTGAGGCAAGGTCAAGGCGACCTTGAATGAAGATAATTCAATAAATTATCAGTTTGATTAATGGAAAGTTGGCGGGGAAAGGTATTTGGAAGATTTACACTTACCTCCTGATGAACCGTGGAAACGGATGACACAAAGGAAGTCGAAGGTCGAGGGCGTGGAGGTCGGACGGCCAGGGCCCCTACTACCAATTCCTTACTGGCAGACGGTTGGCCTGGTAGAGTAAGGATTGGTCCAGAGCTCTAAGATCAAAGGACAGAATAGTTAGCAGCCGACGTAATATACATACATATGTAAAAAATGTGGTAAAGGCCTTACGACCACCTCCAAATTCTGGTTGACGGAGGTTTCCCCCGATTCGGAAGAAGAAATATCCTCAAAAAAATGTTGCGGGCCCTCAAGACGGCTGGCAGCCGGGTCGGCAGGTTGATCTTCTGCCGGTTCTTCCCCAGCCTCCGGCTGGGGGGCGGCTGCAGTGGGGGCAGCCAGCTCCAAGTTCGGACTTGGTGAAAATGGGGGTCGGACCACTTCCGCCATCGGTCCACGTATAGGTCGAGCCGCCACTTCAAGGGTTTCTGCAACAGCCGCCGTCACCTCCAGTTCATTCGTGGGTGGAATCTGCGAAGGCACTTGGAAATTATTCCAAGTGTGTATTATTAATACATCCAAGTATTAGCAAGTGTATAATATATGAGAGGCTTACAGAGGTTCTTGACATCGGAAAGGGGAAAGGTTGCCTCCTAGTCGGGTTCCTCTCTGGACTAATTACTAGCAGGGAGGGAAGAGACGGCCTCTTAGTCGGATCTTTCTCCCGACTAATCATCGGCGGTGCAGCTTGGACATTGGCGGGAGGAACTTATAAGGAGTATGGTGAGAACTAAGAAGGTTAATCTAAAAAAAGATGGAAGTACAAGTAAGGTACCTGGGGCTGGTCGGATGGATGGCTTGGTAGGGCGGCCAGAGTAGAAGTCGGTTGATCGGCAGGAGCTGCTGCTTGGGTAGGATCTGTCATAAGGTATAAAGTACAAGTCAAATATTTGAAGAACTTTAAAGTAAATAAGGAATTCAGATGCTTACTTAGGTGAAGACGGATCCTTACTGATATCGTGTCCAGAGGACGGGATATCGAATATTCCTCGACGGCCTGCTGGTCTATTTTTGGGGTCGGAACAGCCTGGGTTAGGGACATCTTTCTTTTCTTCTTGGGAACACTGGTCCCAACACCCGGGGCAGCTGCTGTCTTTCGGGGGGCAACTTGTGGTCGGGCCGCCCCTAGCACTAATGTAGGTTGGGGCAAGAGTATGCCCAGCAACTGATCTTTTGCAGGGACCAGGAGGGCCCACATATCCGATCACTAATTTCGAAAGTTCTCAATGGTTTGGGGGAAGACTTGAAACGGAATATAAGAGTTGGAAGAAATATAGGTTCTAAATTAGTTAAGGTAGACGAGTATAAGTTCGAGGATAACCTTGTCGTCCGGGCTTTGGGTTATGAGATGTGGACGGGCAAGAGGACCTGGTAACCCCTGACAACAGCCGAATTGCCGCGCCAGGAACTGGGGTTGATAATTAAAAGTATAAAAATATTTTTGCCCTTTTGTTTTTATCAAACCTCTTACTGGCGAATAAAGATCTAGGCTTGAGGGATGCATCCCAGGAAAAATGGTAGGTCGAATGAGGAAAGGGATCTGGATTGGCTATAAGGGAAACTACAGGGAAAGGCCAGAACAAGCCGACTGCATAGCGGGCATATCTCTCATATACATAAAATTGGGAGTTATTACGATTATCAGAAACAATGGCCGTAATGATAGGGTCTGATGGTTGTACACTGGCGTGAATGGGACATAGTTTGGTCAGAGCTAGTCCCAAAGAGAGTTCGGGTGAAGGATTTCTAGAAGGGCGGCCAAGACAAAAAGTGTCAGGAAAATATAGACGGAATCAAAGTTCTAAAAACCAAAAAGGATATGACGTAGCCGTATCTAGTTTTTTGGTATCTGTAAGGCGGGTGCTAACTCGAGACAAACCCTAAAAAAAGTTAGCAAGGAAAAGGGTGCCTAGTGAGAAGAAACGACCTGAGGCCAAGTAAATGGCTAGATCTAAGTGTGAAGAAAGAACGCATTTAGAGGGAGAGACGATGACATACCTACATAGCCAGAACAAGAGAAAGGCGGTGTGGTCGCGGTCAGTTACAGGGGTCCTTTCTGCCCCCTATTGGTCGGTTGTGAACTTCGTCAAGCTCCATTCTTTTATTCCTGCCAGCGACCACCCGAGGTGGTCTGCTGCGGGCTCCCGCCCGTCCAAGGAGCCCGATACCAGATCCTCACCCACGATAGGGAGGTGGGCGATCAGGGCCACGTCCATCAGGGTCGGGCCAATGGGGCCCAATGGCAGGCAGAAGGCCCCTATTTCCGTATGCCAGAAGGCTGCCATGGCCAACAACACCTTCTCGTGCAAATGGAAGGGGAGGGTGGATAGGAAGATAGCTTGGTCGATATGTTGGAGTTTCCATTGTTCTTGGAAACGTTCAGCTACCCTGGTGTACCAGGTACGATAGGGCTCTTTGGGATCGTTTATATGGGTTTTAATACTGTCGTTTATACGGACAGAGTTATAAGCAGGATTGTTAATGGCTAAAGGGTTTCCGCCTCCTAGCACTTCCCTCATCCGATTAGAATCTTCGGGGTTAGTACAGTAGGGTCGAATGGTTGGGGTTAAAGCCTTGCATCATACGAAGGAAATTTCTGGGTCTGATCCATCGACAGGTAGGGGTGGAACGTATTGGTTGGCCATTGTTCACTTTGGATGCAGATCGAAAGAAATTTGAAGAGCGTGAGGGAATGCAGATAGAACGAAAAGTTTTATTGTTGAATGAGATATATGGGTTCGAATTGGGGTATTTTAAACCCCACTGATGGGACCTGAAACGGCATCAGAGCAGTACTATCACTTAAGCTACATACTCTCAAACGTCTTATCATACGGCGATCGAGGAATGACGTTTGGGAGTCAGGCGACGGGGCAAGTTATTAAGTATAAAAAATGTATACTTAGGGTTTTGGCTCAAAATAAGATGGAAAGTGGGCCCATCGGTGGGCTAGGGTGTAACACCCCCAGTTGGCTCATACTGGAAATGCTACCGCCACACTGCATCATGAGGTCGTCACCTCCTACTTCGGGCCCCACAATACAGTGTTAAGGCTAAATTAACCATAAAAGCGCATTATTATATATACCAAAATCTGATTTATAAATATTTACAAAACACACCCCTTAACAAGAGGTTTTTCCGGTTAAAAATTTACATATAATACAATATACGTAAGTTCACTCACTCAGCCCATCTTTCTATGTCTCGAGACGTCCCCTGTCTCGGATGTGCCATGCATACCTGAAACAAATATTTTCTTAAAAGCAGTCCAGAATTAAATCCATTTTAAGAACTAACGTGAAATATGTCATTTCACACCTTTTTAAAATAAAGTCTAATTCCCGTTAATCATAAAATACGTGTCATGTCATGCCAATAGTGAAATGATGCAATACAGATATCAAACTCGACAACAATGCACACTCACATATATATATCCGCCAAAGTGAGCAGCCGGAATAACCTCGGCTCCATAATCATGGGCTCACTACATCTGTCTAAGTGAGCAGTCGGAATACCCTCGGCCCCGTAATAACAAGCTCACTAGACCATCGTCAATAAGTAGCCGGAAAATCCTCAGCTCAAGGAAGGACCTGATAAACCCATAATAATGTAACGGTCATCCGGTCACTTCCATATACCCACCATACCACTCCCACAATCAATACATGGATAGCCGAACGTTGTCGCCATTAACCACAAGACGCCCCATTAGTCTGTGATAGCGAAGATAGGACCCCCACTGACTAGCCCTATTCCATGTAATGTAGTAGAATCCGTGCAACCTGGAATTACCCAAGGGAAACCCGGAAACTCTACTCCTCCTTGCGCGCCCTAACGGGATCACGTTTGGAGTTTGGGATATGATCCTAAACTACCGGTAGACCTCACTAGCAATCAGTCCAATGAGTGGAACAACACCGAGCACGAATGATTAGACCAAATACGTCTCAACTACAATGGGTCTAATCCCTGAATGACCGTGCGACTAAGTCACCCAGTTGTCCGACTACTATTGTCCACTATCGCCAAAGTGTTACGGTACATCGGGGTCGAATATCCTAACCCCAGATGATGCCCTCGCCTAGCATTACCGCACACGGCGACTAAACGATAGATTCATAAAACACATCCGATAAACCGTGCAATATGTGTGTAACATGCTAAATAAGTGAATTTACCGAAAAGGGCTGGTGAGACAGCTCACCTATCCTCATTTTCATAAATTCACCAACGCGATCAAATACGTATATCAAATATCATAAACCGTGAAGTCTCCCACATGCATACGCACACATATATATAAATATATACATGCAACAAAATGATTCACATAATATCACGTTAACATATTAATCAAAATCGTATGCACATGCATACCTAATTTCTTAAAATTAGATTTAATTCCCTACTGCTTACCTTTTATCGACACTCCCTAGCTCCCGCAATTTCACCCAAATCTCTTCCAACTTACACCTGCCCCATTATTTACTCAAATCAGCTGAGCTATATACTTATACATAGGAGCTACCTGCTTATTCAAAAGCTAATTTCTATAGTTAGCTCGTTGTGTTTCAAACTTTTATATTTGATAGACTGCGATATTCTAGCTATAAAATCTTATACCTCATAATATTTATATCGCCCGATTATTAAATAAAATTACTTAAAGATATGAATAAACAGGCAGGTGCAGTACGCTGCCGTTTTCAATTCGGCTCGGATCGATACGAAATTCTCATAATATAATACTAGGATTAAGAATAGGCTATTAGCTAAAGAAATTCATCGATTAAATAGCCAAATAGCTAGTTATTAATTTTTGAAGAATTTCTAATTTAATATCTTCAATATCTAAATTCATATTAAAATCCATAATTAAATTCTACGTATAACAAGAAATACAATACCGAAGTCGAAATCGAAATCAGACAGCTAAATCTTTTTCTTCCTTTTTTTCTTCTCCTATCTTCTTCTCCTTCGCGTTTCGTCTTCTGCCTTCATTCGCAGGTGGGTTGGTTTGTTTTATATATATATAGTTATATTATTATTATATATATTATATTATATTATTATTATTAACGTTGTTATTATTATTATTATTATTATTATTATTATTATAAATATTATCCTTATCATCATCACCATTAATATTATTATTATATATATATTATATTTTATAATTATCCTTATCGATATTTATCCGTTTAATAGTCTTTTCAATCATAATCAATATATAAAATAGGAATAAAATTTATTCCAAAATATTAATTTCTTAATTCCAAAATATTATAAAAATATTTATTTGCTATAATAATATTATTTTATATACTCCAAAATCGGGGTATTACAATTCACTCCCCCTTAAAAGATTTCGTCCCCGAAATCTAAACTCAAACGCATAACAACACTACTTAATTAAACAAATGTGGGTATGCTTTGAACATCTCTTGTTCTACTTCCCACGTGGCCTCTTCTGCTCCATGCCGGGACCACATTACCTTCACCATACGAATATCTCGGTTCCTCGTAGTTCGAACCTTTGTGTCCATGATCCCAAGAGGCATTTCCTCATATGAAAGATCCTCATTTAGCTCTAACTCATCCGGAGATAAAATATGAGAAGGATCTGCGACATACCTACGAAGCTGCGATACATGAAACACATATGAATTCGTTCCATGGAATTAGGAAGTGCTAACCGATAAGCCCAATCCCCAACTCGATCGAGGATTTCATAGGGTCCAACATAACGTGGACTCAATTTTTCTTTAATTCCAAACCTTCTAATACCTTTCATTGGAGATACTTTTATCAGGACGAAATCTCCACTTTGAAATTGGCCTTCACGTCGGGCTTTATCGGCATAACTTTTTTGGCGATCTTGAGCTATCTTTATCTTCTCCCTGATAACTCGAATCTTATTTTTTTGATTCTTCGATCATTTCTGGACCTAATATCAGTCGATCACTCATGTCATCCCAATTTAAAGGAGTTCTGCATCTTCATCCATAAAGAGCTTCAAAATGAGCCATTCCAATACTTGTTTGATAACTATTATTATTTGAGAATTCCACTAAATCCAAGTGGTCCTCCCAACTTCCTTGAAATTCTATTGCACAAGCTCTTAGCATATCTTCCAGAATACGGATAGTTCGCTCTGATTGACCATCAGTCATTGGATGAAATGCATTACTCATATGCAATTGAGTACCAAAGGCTTCTTGCAATTTTTGCCAAAACGAGATTGAAAACGTGGATCACGATCCGATATGATTACCTCAGGAACCGTGTCGTTTAACCACATGATGAACATATAATTGGGCCAACTTCTGCATGCTCCAAGTCATACGTACTGGGATGAACACTGCTGACTTAGTTAATCTATCTATAATCACCCAAATTGCATCTGTTCCCGACTTCGCCCTTGGAAGTCCTATCACAAAATCCATTGCAATAGAATCCCATTTCCAGAGCGGAACTTCTAAAGGCTGTAGCAACCCCATCGGTCCCTGATGTTCTGCTTTTACCTTTTGGCAGTTTAAACATTGTGCAACGAATTTAGCTACATCATTCTTCATGCCCTTCCACCAAAAATGTTGATGTAAGTCTTGATACATTTTAATCCCCCCTGGATGCACTGAATGTGGTGTATTATGAGCCTCACTCATAATTTTTTCTTTCAAATCGCTTCGGTCCTTTGGGATACACCACCTCCCATGGAATCGAAGACTCCTATCTGAAGCAATATTAAAGTTTTGAGTCTGACCGCCCTGAACTTTTATAGCCAGCTCGACCATCTTATCATCTTCCATTTGAGCCGCTTTAATATGATTATAAATTTCAGGCTCAACTTGCATAATTTGCAAATATCCCCGCGTCATGCCCCGTCCAAGTACTTCAATTTCCATCCGTGCTAGATCTTGATACAGTTCATCAGAAACTGACATATAACCCAACTTATGCCTTGGTTTTCGACTCAAGGCATCAGCTACAACATTTGTTTTACCTTCATGATATACAATTTCGAGATCATAATCTTTCACCAATTCTAACCATCTTCTTTGTCTTAAATTTAATTCCCTTTAGGTGAAGATATATTTCAGACTCTGATGGTCAGTAAACATTCTACAATGGGCACCATAAAGATAGTGCCTCCAAATCTTCAAAGCAAATAGTACTGCTGCAATCTCCAGGTCATGTGTAGGATAATTTTCTTCATAAGGTTTTAGTTGTCGTGACGCATAAGCAATAACTCTTTGATTCTGCATTAAGGCGCATCCCAATCCCCTTTTCGAAGCATCACTATAAACTTCAAAATCCTCACCCTCTACTGGTAAAGCCAAGATTGGTGCTGAAATTAATCGATGTTTCAATTCTAAGAAAGAGGACTCACATTCACGATCCCAATTAATCATTGTGTCATTCTTCAGCAAATTAGTTAATGACTTCGCAACCCTCGAAAAATCAAGAACGAATCTTCGGTAATACCCTGCCAAACCCAAAAAGCTTCTTACTTCTGATTGATTGGTAGGTCTTGGCCAATCCGAGATTGCCGCAACTTTAGAAGGATCTACTGAGATACCCTTACCAGAAACTACATGCCCCAAGAAAGCAACCTTTTTCAACCAAAACTCACATTTGGATAACTTGGCATATAACTTCCTCGCACGCAGTGTATTTAGTGTCACACGCAAATGTTTTGCATGTGTCTTTTTATCTGGAGAATATACCAAGATATCATCGATAAATATCACCACAAACTGATCGAGGTATGGTTGAAAAATTCGATTCATTAATTCCATAAATGCAGCCGGGGCGTTGGTCAACCCAAAAGACATAACCGTAAATTCATAATGACCGTATCTAGTGCGAAAGGCTGTCTTAGGAATATCATGCTCTGCAACCCTTAGTTGATAATATCCATACCTCAAGTCAATCTTGGAGAATACACTTGCACCTCTCAGTTGATCAAATAAATCATCAATTCTCGGAAGAGGATATTTATTCTTTACCGTTACTTTATTCAGCCCACGGTAGTCAATACACAATCTTAAGCTTCCATCTTTCTTTTTCACAAATAAAACTGGAGCACCCCAAGGCGACGTACTAGGACGAATGTAACCTTTATCCAATAATTCCTGTAGTTGCAATTTAAGTTCAGCGAGTTCTAACGGTGCCATGCGATATGGGGCTCTTGATACTGACTCGGCGCCTGACACAATATCAATAGTAAAATCCACCTCACGAGCAGGTGGCATACCAGGAATATCATCAGGAAATACATCAGGAAAATCTCAAACCACAGGAATATTTTGCAATTGTTGCTCCCCTTGCTTCCAATCTCTTACCTCACACAGATACACCGGATACCCCTTACGAATAACTGCTTGAAATGATAGGGATGAAATTACCTTCATAGAAGGTTGTCTCGCCGATCCTGCATAGCTCACTTGTTCACCCATTGCTCCAACCAATGAAATTGATCTTTTTCGACAATCAAATTGAGCTTGATATGCCATTAACCAATCCATCCCCAGTATCACATCGAACTCGGATAACTTCATACTCAACAAGTTAGTAGCAAAATCAACTCCCCCAATACTAATCGGAATTTGCATATAGAGTTCTCGGCACTCCAGTACTTCTCCTGATGGAAGTAAAACTTCCACTACCACTTCTACCGATGAATTCAGACGCAATCTTTTAACCAAACGTTTAGATATGAACGAGAACGTTGCACCCGAATCAAATAACACAAGAGCTGACAAACCGCAAACAAAAATCTACCCGTTAAAACCTCACCTGGGTAATGATCAACCTCTGTTTGGGTAACCACATTTATTCTGCCACGCTGGTCAGGTCCTCTGCCTAGCTGCCTAGATGATGGACGTGACTGGCTTCGACCACCTCGCCATGATGGTCCTAATCCTTCTCTCCCCTGTGACTGTGAAGATGGCAGCTGCCATGGCCTAAATCTCGGTTCTGGAAACTCCTTTGCAGTTACCACACTCGGGCATAGCCTGGCAATATGACCACTACCACCACACTTAAAACATGTTAATGGAACATTATCACAACGGGTACCTGAATTACTTGTTCCACAACGTCGACAAACAACCCCCGATTGCTGAAACCTCTCTTGACTCGGTTCTTTAATCGAAATCCCTTTGTACGATGGCCCATACCTGAATATTTGCCACCATTTATTTTTACCCTTTGGTTCGTCCTCCTCCTTGGCTTTTCTTTTATCTCGAAACTGATGTTGATACCCCATCTCCTTCTCACTGTTCTTCTGCCTGACTTCCTGCTTCTGATAGAATCGAGCAGCACACTCGTAAGCCTCATACAACGAACTGATATCCAACACAGCTAAAGCTTCTTGAATCCTCTGCTGCAACCCATCTACAAAATGATCAACTCTATCTCGCTCACAGGAAAAGTAGTCAGGAACATACATCTCCAGCTCATTGAACTTTACAAAATAGTCCTCGACTGACATCGAACCCTGCTTCAAGTCCAGCAGATCTTGCTTCTTTGCTTTTCGTATATGTGACGGTATAAACCTAGCTTTTAATTTTGCTTTAAACTCATCCCAAGTCATATCCACTTGGTCCACTACCGCAGCTTCCTCACCTAACCACCACCGATTTGCTCAACCTTCCAAGAAATAAGCCCCGATATTGACTAGTTGATCTGGTGGAACCTGAACAACACGAAATATCTTTTCCATCTTTTCAACCCAGAACTCAAGAACTCCAGGCTCTACAGAACCAGAATATGCTGGCGGGCTATGCCGCATCACAGCATCAATAAAACTCCTTTGTTGAGGCATCATCGCAGCCATAAACTGCCGGAAGAAATCCTGATTAGGTGCTTCTATTCGTACATGCTCTGGCACATGATATTGTGACTCATCAGAAGAAGGATATAGCTCTGGGCCTCGAATAGCCCTACGTACCATCACCTCGAGAATTTGACATACTGCCCCCGACTTCCCTGATTCAATATCAACTCAGCAACACAACTAAACCAGATATAACATTAAAGCATAAACCACGTTAACATGAATGCACCCACAAAACCCAAACCTCGCCAAACCAATTCAATATCATAATTATTTTCAAAACCTTTTTTTAATCCAAATAGCCAAAATCTACCAAACCTAGGCTCTGATACCAACTTGTAACACCCCCAGTTGGCTCATACTGGAAATGCTACCGCCACACTGCATCATGAGGTCTTCACCTCCTACTTCGGGCCCCACAATACAGTGTTAAGGCTAAATTAACCATAAAAGCGCATTATTATATATACCAAAATCTGATTTATAAATATTTACAAAACACACCCCTTAACAAGAGGTTTTTCCGGTTAAAAATTTACATATAATACAATATACGTAAGTTCACTCACTCAGCCCATCTTTCTATGTCTCGAGACGTCCCCTGTCTCGGATGTGCCATGCATACCTGAAACAAATATTTTCTTAAAAGCAGTCTAGAATTAAATCCATTTTAAGAACTAACGTGAAATATGTCATTTCACACCTTTTTAAAATAAAGTCTAATTCCCGTTAATCATAAAATACGTGTCATGTCATGCCAATAGTGAAATGATGCAATACAGATATCAAACTCGACAACAATGCACACTCACATATATATATCCGCCAAAGTGAGCAGCCGTAATAACCTCGGCTCCATAATCATGGGCTCACTACATCTGTCTAAGTGAGCAGCCGGAATACCCTCGGCCCCGTAATAACAAGCTCACTAGACCATCGTCAATAAATAGCCGGAAAATCCTCGGCTTAAGGAAGGACCTGATAAACCCATAATAATATAACGGTCATCCGGTCACTTCCATATACCCACCATACCACTCCCACAATCAATACATGGATAGCCGAACGTTGTCGCCATTAACCACAAGACGCCCCATAGTCTGTGATAGCGAAGATAGGACCCCAACTGACTAGCCCTATCCCGTGTAATGTAGTAGAATCTGTGCAACCTGGAATTACCCAAGGGAAACCCGGAAACTCTACTCCTCCTTGCGCGCCCTAACGGGATCACGTTTGGAGTTTGGGATATGATCCTAAACTACCGGTAGACCTCACTAGTGATCAGTCCAATGAGTGGAACAACACCGAGCACGAATGATTAGACCAAATACGTCTCAACTACAATGGGTCTAATCCCTGAATGACCGTGCGACTAAGTCACCCAGTTGTCCGACTACTATCGTCCACTATCGCCAAAGTGTTACGGTACATCGGGATCGAATATCCTAACCCCAGATGATACCCTCGCCTAGCACTACCGCACACGGCAACTAAACGATAGATCCATAAAACACATCCGATAAACCATGCAATATGTGTGTAACATGCCAAATAAGTTAATTTACCGAAAAGGGCTGGTAAGACAGCTCACATATCCTCATTTTCATAAATTCACCAACGCGATCAAATACGTATATCAAATATCATAAACCGTGAAGTCTCCCACATGCATACGCACATATATATATATATATAAATATATACATGCAACAAAATGATTCACATAATATCACGTTAACATATTAATCAAAATCGTATGCAACGTGCATACCTAATTTCTTAAAATTAGATTTAATTCTCTACTGCTTACCTTTTATCGACACTCCCTAGCTCCCGCAATTTCACCCAAATCTCTTCCAACGTACACTTGCCCCATTATTTACTCAAATCAGCTGAGCTATATACTTATACATAGGAGCTACCTGCTTATTCAAAAGCTAATTTCTATAGTTAGCTCGTTGGGTTTCAAACTTTTATATTTGATAGACTGTGATATTCTATCTATAAAACTCTTATACCTCATAATATTTATATCGCCCGATTATTAAATAAAATTACTTAAAGATATGAATAAACAGGCAGGTGCAGTACACTGCCGTTTTCAATTCGGCTCGGATCGATACGAAATTCTCAGAATATAATACTAAGACTACGAATAAGCTATTAGATAAAGAAATTCGTCGATTAAATAGCCAAATAGCTAGTTATAAATTTTTGAAGAATTTCAAATTTAATATCTTCAATATCTAAATTCATATTAAAATCCATAATTAAATTTTACGTATAACAAGAAATACAATATCGAAGTCGGAATCAAAATCGGACGGTTAAATCTTTTTCTTCCTTTTTTTCTTCTCCTTTCTTCTTCTCCTTTGCGTTTCGTCTTCTGCCTCGTTCGCAGGTGGGTTGATTTGTTTTATATATACATATATAGTTATATTATTATTATATATTACATATTATATTATATTATATTATTATTATTAACGTTATTATTATTATTATTATTATTATAAATATTATCCTTATCATCATCACCATTAATATTATTATTATATATATATATATATTATATTTTATGATTATCCTTATCGATATTTATTCGTTTAACCGTCTTTTCAATCGTAATCAATATATAAAATAGGAATGAAATTTATTTCAGAATATTAATTTCTTAATTTCAAAATATTATAAAAATATTTATTTGCTACAATAATATTATTTTATACACTCCAAAATCGGGGTATTAAATAAGGAATTAGGGGATTGCATCGGTTGCAGTTTGGAACGGACCGAGTTTGGTTGATATGTAGGGAAGCACATCCGTTGTGAGAATGTAGGGCGGTTAGAGTGTATAACTGACATAAACTGTCAGTGGTCGGTTGATGGCACGTTTCATCAGAAAATTGGTTTATGAGGTTAACTGATAGCAGTTTGGTAACCGATTTGGTGACGGTTCAGGGCAGTTCTGACGATTCAGGGCGATTCTAAAGTGAATATTTAAATATCAGGGAAATCAAAGAAATAATATCTTCAATCAGTCAAAAAATTAAGAATTTCCTATTAAATGGTCACTCTTTACTTATTTATTTATTACTTTAATGCATTGAAAATCTTATGTATATATTTATTACCCAAACTCGATAGTATTTTTTAAATTTAATTTACATTGTTAAAAATATCTTCCATAATTATACTTAAAATTTAATTTTACACTTAAAATATTATATTATATCTTATAATTATTTTAATTCAAAATTTTAATATTCAAAATTCCAATTCACAAATAAACAGACATGATCAAATTGAGATCATAATTGAAACGCCCACCAAAACAGCTAAATTCGTGCAAAACACGTGACTCGAGACCATCTGTGCTGGCAAACACTGTTAACCATGTTGGCATTATTATCC